TGAGCCCTGGGCATCTGTCCTGCTCTGTCCACCCTGTCCGGGAGCCACACTGTGGACCTTGGGGCATCAGAGGTGGGTAATGGGGTGTCCTTGGCCTTGGCTCCTACCTCAGCTTCACACTCAGGAACCAGGTGACATTGAGCTTGTCATGAACCTCTCGTGGCTCATCTGCATCTTCTGTCAGGTGCCATTGAAATGAGCAGCCAGTGAAATAAAGAGCTTTATTCAGGCCAGCCAGTTCTGGCTTCCCAAAACCACGCTGCAGATGGCAACAGCACTTTCTTCAGAGGACTCTAGTGACTCTAGTGACGCTGAACTACTCACTGCATCTGAAACCTTGTCATGCAGTCTGGAGGGGAGCTAGAGCTCAGACATAGATGCACTTATTTAATTGTATCAATATAATTGTTATTTCTATAGAAGATGAAAGCACTTGGTTAATAATGTGACATTATTGGCTTTTTGAATCTCATTACTAATCATTTTAGAGATTGTCTGTCTCACCCTTTTATACGTGTTTGGAAAACACTCCAATAACTTTGCAATCCCCAGGAATTTTCTTGTCAGAGTAACATTGCTTGTTTTTACAAGGTCTAAAAGGTTAAGAATATTTTGAAAAGCATTACAGGTTTTTCAAGTTTTGCTTATTTCCAATGCTCTTCTTTTTTTTTTTCTTTTTAAAGATCTCATTTATCTGAGAGAGAACACGAGCAGTGGGGAGGAGCAGGAGAGGGAGAAGCAGGCTCCCACTGAGTAGGGAGCCCAAGGCAGGGCTCCATTCCAGGACCCCCTGGGATCATGACCTGAGCTGAAGGCAGATGCTTAACCCACTGAGCCACCCATGTGCCCCAATTTCCAGTGTCCTAATTGGATTACCAGACTCTCAAATATTTGAATCCTAACTTCATGTCAGCAGAGGAACTCCTTCTAGGAAAAGGAAAAATCAATGTCTTGTATATTATTAGATAATGGCCAATCAGGTGAGACTTGGTTATTGATTGTCAATCATCTCCCATAGATATTTTATTAATACTGGGGTGTCTCTAAATCAAAGGTACTATAGAGAGAGTGTATATGATCCAAATCTCTCAGTCCCTGATGGGGCAGAGGCTCCATCCGATTGGCAGCAAACAGCAAGCCCAGTTGGGCAAATAACTACTTGTTTTGTCCACATTGAACAACTTATATCACTTCCTTACTTGTTGAATTAATAAATTAAACCACAAATATGATGTGTTTCCTCTTTGCCAGGAAATATTCTATTTATTGAGGAAACAGAGACAGAAGGCATTGTTTTTGCTCAGAGGAAGTTTAAAACCATGCTGGAGAACTCTGCTGTCTTTCCACTGAAAATCTCTACCTTACAAAGCTAAGGAAGTTTTTCCTATACTATGAGAGCTAAATAGTATTTGGGGCTTTGAAATGACTAGACAACTAAACTTTATCCAATTTATCATCTCTGGAATGTGTTACTAGTGGGGCTTTGAACTCTACCAACGTGATGGTGTAGTTATACCATCTGGCAGAGGAACTGCTTCTGAGATCAACACCGCTTTTTATGAGAGGTCAAAGAATTAAGCAGCTAATGGTCTCAGAACCGTGGATGGAGACCAAGAGAAATATGTTCTGTACATATCACTGTAGCTACTGAAATCTGCTTGGGATCTTTGTATCTTCTTGTTCCCCTTTCCAGCTCTAGCCTAGGCATTAAAAAAAAAAAATCTTGAATTGAAAGGAAAATCTCAGTTTGGGGATTTCTCCCATGGTTGTCAAATTTTAGCAGGCTCTGAGAATTTGCTGAGGTTCTTCATGTGTTTCATGGCATCTGAGCATATAGGCATTTTTTTTAACAATGTCTAGTTCACAGGAAGCTGGAATGTTGTCAGAAGGATTGTCACATCTATAGCATCTTCTTATTCTGCCTTCTATGCCCATTTTCCAAGTAGGACTGTGTCAATGGGACAGCCTAATAAGATTCAGAGGCTTTATTGATGTACAAGATCAGAGGCCAGTCTTGTTTAGTTTTCAAAACTCCTGAATGATGATACTGATACTAACACCTATGTATTTTGAGTTATTGCTGTGGCTTGGGGTCTGCCCTCCTTCTGTTTCCTTAAATCTTCAGAATAGTCTTCAAAGTTGGTGGTATTGCCAATGAAAGATGTAGAAACCAGAGCTTAGGGAGGAAACATAATTTGCCAGAAATTATACAGCTAATAAATTACATCTATTTGGCTTTAAATTCCACGTTCTTTCTTCCACAGCTTCTGGTTCCCCACAGAACATTTTAGGTATCGAGCTTGTGACTTTTTATATTTGTTCATTCATTCATTTATTCATGCTTATTTCTGCCCCCATCCTTTGACTTTTCCATCGACGGACATATTTTCTCTATCTATCTGGTACAAAGCACTGTGTGAGTCATTCTGATAAGTAAAAATATAAGTATGACCCAGTTGCCACTCTTAAGAATTTCTAAGTTGAGTCTGAAGATCAGACAGACAGACAGACACCCCCCCCCCCAAAAAAAAACCTCTACACTCTGACCATGGCAGGAAGAGCATGACAGGCAAAGATTGCTGACACTCAGGTGCAGAAGAAAGGCATTACTTTTATCTGAAGCATGTAAGTCCTGAAGGTAGAGAGAGGAATTTTATCTGACTGAATTCTTGAGCACTATGAAAGGAAAGGAAAACACTATGGACAAAAACCTCAGGGGATGTTAGGAGACTCATTCTCAACTGTTTCCTCCTGTTGCAGAGCTCCTGTCCTCGCATATCTGCTCAAGTGTACTCAGATCTTGGTGTTGGTTTATTTGAAATGACTTAGGCTCAGGGCTATGTACAATTCCTATGGTCCTGGCTGAACACGGAGGCTGTGATAAATAGTGATAGAATGTCTATCAGACCAATGAGAATGGAAAATAGATATTGTCAGCTATTACTGCCTATGAACAACCACAAAAATCTCAGTGCCGTACATCAAATGAGCATCTCCTTCACGTCAGCTGGGGGTCCGTGGTGCCAGCCTGCCTCAAGCTGGAAGGCTTTTCTCAAGCTGTAGGTACAGCTGCCCTGGTCCTCTCTGTGGTTGAACACAAGTCTGTGTCAGATGTACACATGGGGCCCTGGCTCAGGAGGTGGAAAGCACCCAGAGGTGCTCTACTGCTGACCACAGCAGTGGTGCAGATACATTTTAAGGCCCTGGTTCAATCATATTGGCCAAAGCCAGTCACGTGACTGAGCCCAAATCAAGTCCAGAAGGAGAGATGGGAGGGAAAACCCCTGATGAAAAATCTCATCTCTCATATATATGATGAAGGAGATGGAAAGGAGATCAAATCATGAGATAGGGGTTCTAAAAAGGAGAAAAGTCTAAGCACAGCTGAAGATGATAGTAAGATGTCAGATTCTATATAACAGGTAATAGTGAGACATTTGCAAAGGTTATGTCACACACTCCAGAAACTTGTACATAATAGATGATAGAAGGAGATGGGAGGTCAGGGAGCAATTGCACAGCTACTATAATGATGAAAGCTTAAAATGGGGAGGTGGCAATTGAGAAGTAAAGGAGCAGGAAGATATGAAGGCAATTTCTGAATCAGAATTAGTTGCTCTTGGCACCTTGCTGGATATAATGGTAGGGTGGAGGAGCCCACAGCGGTGATTCTACTGAAGCTATCAGAAGACACAGAAGGATCATCAGAGTTGTAGGTGATGGGGGAGGGCCTGATGCCTGCGTACCATGGAGGAGGGCAGTGCTTCGACAGAAATGGGGATATGAGGTGGGGCAAACTAAGATGGAGATTGAGGACACAGTGACCATGGCTGAGTAGGAGCCACCCTGAGATTCACAGAGCTGTGAGGACAGGTGACAAGGAAAACAAGCATGTCCAGGTGACAGAGGCCTGGGGCATGGGGTACAGAAGAAGCAGAAGTGGTACTGAGGACCAGAGGGCATCCCAGTGATCTTCTGAGTCCACAAGGTGAGCCTGCAGGAAATGCTGCTGCATGTTGGGCACCCCTCATAAATGTTTGCTGGTGATGGCGATGGAGCTCTGGAGGGGGGAAGGGGGCCAGTTATGACTGTTACAAGCATCGCTGTGTTTGCATGGTGTTGTTTGAACATTGCTACGATGAGAGCATGACTGTGGGTAGTTTATAAATATTGAAATTCAGGGATTGATTGAAAGAACTAGGTCCTGACTCTGCAGGAGGAGGGCTGCAGACAGATGAGTGATTTTCCATCCAGTAGATATTCTGAGATGAGGCTTTGATCTCAGGTAGTCTTGTTTTAGCCCTAGCAAATTATCTGACTTCTAACTTTAATTCTAGTCAATTTTACAGTCTTCTGTTCATACACATCAATATATTGATGCAGAGCATTTTTTCACATATTCACTGATTTTAATTGTGATCTTGGATGGATTGGCCTGCGTATGCTATTCACTTGCTTCCCCATCACTGTGATGATGTGTTTGCTGGTGACATAGGGGATGCGTGTGGAGTCTACCATAAACATGATTTTAAATTGTAGAGAGAAATGCTCTGTAACTGACAATAACCAACCCTCTGTTCTTTATAAAATGGAGATGAATGCCAGTATTTATATCTGAGAATTGGGAGGACACATCACTTCAGAAGTAAAGCAATTTTAAAAGAATTTTGCTTTTTGCTGTGCTTATGTGTGCAGTGTGGTACGTTTTTGCCCTATGAGTTCTCGTGTTGCTTTGACTGTTACCCTAGTTTTCTGTTGCTGTGTTCCATGTGTCCCCACGTTTTGGTAGCAGGCATGTGTGTGAGTGCTGTGGCCCTGCTGACCCTGTGTCTGCCTCTATCAAACACACATGGCTTTCAAGTTCCATGACTGCGTGCAACCTTGGGCCTAAACAGTTCTTAGCCTCTTCTGTGGACTCTGGGATGGAGGACAAGTCAAACCTTACTTGGCATTTTAATGATTGCACTTTCTCAGTCTGTGTCTGCCTTGTTCCCACACAGAGCTGTGACCTGGATCAGCAGAGCATCATTCACGTTGTGCTGAGACCCTGGAGCAAAGGCCAAGAAAGGGAGGGCCCTGGAGGAGATGGCCCACGGAAGGCTGTGGAGGGCTCAGACAGAGAGCCTGAGAGCTTAACGCGTGTGGACCTCAGCAGCTCTGTCCTCCCAGCCCACTCGGTGGGTCTAGCTGTGATCCTGAGCGACGACTCTGAGAGGGTTCTGCCAGCCAGAAGGCAAGGTAATTGTACAGATTATGTCTACGGCCAATAGAGCATTTTGTGTAGCCGACCTCTGCAGGGAAGGGGCTCAGTATGTACATATTTAATTCATGTAAAGTCTAGATTACTAGAAGGAGGCATCATTAGAAGGATGGCACTTGGCTATAAAATTTGAGGTGAATACATTTAATAAATACAATAGAACAGGGCTTTCAAATTAAGAATGAAGGGAAGGGCTGGAGCAGGTGTCAGGACCATGGTCATGGTATTTTATTTTAGTTATTTTTAAATTTAATTAATTAAGATGAAGCAGAATGCTGGAAATATGATGTATTGAGCTAGGGTCAAAATATATGATTAAGATGCATCTATATCCCTCCCAGGTTTTGCCTTTCTTTTTCTATTTCTTATTTTCTTTTTTTTTTTTTTTATTTTTTATTTTTTTTTTAAACTTTTTTTTATATATATTTTTAAATTTTTTTTATTTATTTATGATAGTCACAGAGAGAGAGAGAGAGAGGCAGAAACATAGGCAGAGGGAGAAGCAGGCTCCATGCACCGGGAGCCCGACGTGGGATTCGATCCTGGGTCTCCAGGATCGCGCCCTGGGCCAAAGGCAGGCGCTAAACCGCTGCGCCACCCAGGGATCCCTATTTCTTATTTTCTTAAAATACATTTTGGTTTATTATGTTTCTGATGATGTAGGGAAATTTCAAAAAACGAAAAAAGTTCTCAAAAGAGAACTTTAGAGGCAACTTTAATCGTGTGCCAGTGCTAAGACAACACATTACAATGTCAATAACACCCGCAGTGTGAATGATGTTTCTGTCTTTCCGTGTTACAACCCATTTTCAAAATGCTTTCATTTAGCAAGAATGGCGATTCCTTTCTTATTTTGCCAATATTAATGTATTTCCCTTAATCTTTGTTTTTATTTTTTTATTTTTTTAGATTTTATTTATTTATTCATGAGAGACAGAGAGAGAGGCAGAGACACAGGCAGGGGGAGAAGCAGGCTCCATGCAGGGATCCCGATGCGGGACTCGATCCCAGGTCTCCAGGTGAAGGCGGCGCTAAACTGCTGAGCCACCCAGGCTGCTCAGTCTATTTTCCAATCTAAATATTCAAAGGTAGGGGTGCCTGAGGGCACCTGGGTGGCTCTGCCTTGAGCTCAGGTCCTGATCTCAAGGTCTTAGGATCAGCACCCACCCCTCTTCCAACCCCCTGCCCAGTAGGGAATCTGCTTCTCCCTCTGCCTTCGCCCCTCCCCACTGCTGTGCACTCCCAGGTTCCTGCACACACACAGGCTCTCTGTCTCTCTGCCTCTCTCTCTCAAATAAATAAATAAATAAATAAATAAATAAATAAATAAATAAATAAATAAAATCTTTTAAAAAAACATTCAAAGGGGGCAGCCTGGGTGGCTCAGTGGTTTAGCGCCTGCCTTTGGCCCAGGATGTGATCCTGGAGTCTTGAGATCAAGTCCCATGTCGGGCTCCCTGCTTGCAGCCTGCTTTTCCCTCTGCCTGTGTCTCTGCCTCTCTCTCCCTGTGTCTCTCATGAATAAATAAATAAAATGTTAAAAAAAATAGTCAAAGGTATAACAGGATTCTTTTTGCCTGTGTGTGACAGAAAGCACAAAATAATAGCAATGACTTTGTAAAGTATAAGTAAATTTCTCTCCTATATACAGTAAGTGAGGATTATATGAGACATAGGAAAAGATGTAATACATGGGGGAAAATGAGATCCATCTAAAACTCTGCAGTACCCATGTGATCCAGAATGGAAAGTTAATATAAGTATTGGACTCCGATTTATGGTGCATCTGATGTTTCAAGTGGAGCATACATAAAAGCTATTCTAGAGAACATTCAGGTGGCATGGCAGGTCGCTTCCAGAGGGAATCACCCCCTCTTAAAGGGCACACATCATCAAACATTACAATTCAAACAAAGAGACATTCTGTCTTGAGTAGAAGTAAGTATATTCCATAAACTGGAAGATTGGTTTCCCCTGAAACTTGAGAAAATAAAATAACAATTTGAAACAGAACACAAAACAAATACTTTTGATGTTAATTAAAGCATAAAAGAAAAAAATTGAAACCTAAAACAGAATACAACCATAATAGAAGAATAGCTGTTAAATAGAACATAATTTTAGCTATTGGAATGAAAAAAAAAAAAGTCCTCAGTGGATGGGTTAAAACAGCAAGTCTGGCAATGCCAAAGAGAGAAATTGTCAACTGGAAGATAGAAATGAAGGAGTTGTCCAAAGTGGTACAGGTTAAAATGTAAAACAATGCTTTTAGGAGACTGAAAGTTTGGAAGAGATGGCCAAACATATTTCTGATAAGAGTTTCATGGCAGGAGAATACAGAATAGAAAAGAGACAGTTTTCTAAGAGAATACTGAAAATTTTCCAGTATGTGTAAGTCCTCTGATTCAAGAGTACATGGTCCCAAGCATAATAAAACAAAGAAACACACAATTGGTCTTAATCAAGATGAACAAAAATAAATTCACTTTATAAAGAAAGTAAAGGATCAAGGAAAAAAAGAAGATATTAAAACCAATTGAAGAAGGAGATTACTTATAATAGAACAGTAATTCAAATGGGTCCTGGCAGGAATAATAGAAGAAAACAGTATTGGAATAATATCAAATGGCCAAGGGATACACTTGTTAACTTATGGCTCCAAACCCAACAGGCCTAACAAAAATATTGCTCGAGAGTGAGAGGGAAATAAAGACACTTTCAGATGAACACTGAGAGTATTTGTACTCAGTCTGAAAGAACTGTTGAAGTACTCACAACAGCGAGGAATGGGTTTGAACTCAAAGTGACAAAATGGGATATGAGAGATGATGCTCAAAAATACAAGGATAAATACAAGTTTAAATGAGCATTGGTGTAAAAAATAATATTGATTAATTTAATGGGTACAAAAATAGGAGAGACCAAAGTAGAGGATAAAATGACATTTAGGAGAAAACTGATCAATTCACGTGGAAATATGTTCAAGTTCTCATTAATGATCAGAGAAATTAGTATTACAACAATATTTTATCAGTGTAGCCTACCTGATGGGCCAATATTTAAAAGTCTGACAATACCAAGCATTGGTTAGTATATAGGGCAAGAAGTACTTTCATACTTGATGGTGGGAATGTCCATTGATTTACCAGAGATAGCAATTCACAACTTCATAATAATTAATGAAATTACAGATCTCTACATATTCTGGAACTCAGAGTACATGAGGAGACATCTATATAGATGGCCATAATAGGACCATTGGAATTTATGAAAAGATAGCAATAACAGTTGTCTTTAAAAGTAGAATGAATAATCAGCATTTTATTCTTATAATAGGTTGTAAATTGCAAAGGAATGTTCAGTAAGATACAGTTTATGCAAAATTTATGTAAAATTTCAAACATAAAGTTCAAAGCAATTATATCTATTGTTTATAAAACGATAACCATGTAATATATTTTGTCTAAACAGGATATATTTGAGAGTTAAAATACATTAAATATGATTAAATTGTAATTATACACAATTATTTTTAAATATTTATAGATCAACAAATTAGATTTGTTATTTTAATAAATGCATGAATTAGTTCTTCAATAGGATTTAATTTATTTTCAAAAGTTAAAAAAATTCATTTTCTTTAGAGCAAAATCAAGCTTTTATATTTATCATCTGAACATTAATAATACCAGCAGAATAATTATCCTTTGTACTTACACATTTTAATCAGTTTCTTAATATATCTGACTCTGCCATCTTTGTCAATGGTATCTACCTGAAGACTAAAAGCAAATCTTACTGTTTTATTTTATTATAAAATTGTCTTTAGTCATCTTCAGTTTTATTATGAATAATTTTGAAATTATTGTCACCTTCAGTTGATTGTCTCTCTAGACTATGATACTTTTAGTTAAGAATTTCTTTTTTGGGCAGCCTGGGTGGCTCAGCGGTTTAGCGCCTGCCTTCGGCCCAGGGCATGATCCTGGAGGCCCAGGATCGAGTCCCACGTCAGGCTCCCTGCATGGAGCCTGCTTCTCCCTCTGCCTGTGTCTCTGCCTCTCTCTGTGTGTCTATCATGAATAAATAAATAAAATCTTAAAAAAAAAGAATTTCTTTTTTCACTGTAAGTAGGCTCTCAGAATATTCTGCTAAATGTTTAATATTCATTTCATATTTTTTAAAGGATTTTATTTATTTATTCATGAGAGACACAGAGTGAGAAAGAGAGGCAGAGACACAGGCAGAGAGAGAAGCAGGCCCCACCCAGGGGGCCTGACATGGGACTCGATCCCAGAACCCCAGGATCATGCCCATTGACCAAAGGCAGGTGCTAAACCGCTGAGCCACCCAGGCGTCCCTCACTTCGTATTTTTAATTGAAATGTGTAATTCTTTCAACCCAAACAAGAGATTAGATAAACTCCTATAAATGTACATAATATGGTAAATGACACCATCATAGCTAGTGCCTTTAGATGACTCTGTGCTCCATGATAAGACTGTTTATACTTGCATAGACCTCAGAGAGTTCCATCTGACCACTCTCTGATCATCCTGTTCTCATTAACCCACTGACTGTTAGCTGTATGTATTTTTGCAGGGCTGGAGACTAGTCATGGTACCACTTGCTGGGGCACCAGGTGGCTGACAGGGGTGCCATCACACACCCCCAGACCAGGAATGAGCTCTCCTGGGGCCTTGCATGTTATGTGAGGGGGATGTGCTAATTATATAGAATCCGGAAGGGATAGGGAAAGGAGAGATGCGTTATACCAGGCCAACTTTAAGACTTAACTATGTTGGGGCACCTGGGTGGCTCAGTCAGTTAACATCTACCTTCTCCTCAGGGCACAATCCCAGGGTTCTGGGATAGAGCTCCCCCATCAGGCTCCCTGCTCAGTGGGGAGCCGGCTTCTCTCTCTCTGACTCTCCCTGCTTGTGCTTTCTCTCTCTGTGTCAAGTAGATAAATAAAATATTT